GGAAGAAACGATGAGACTTCCAGAATTTCCTTTTCAGAACATCTTGGTAAAGGTAAAATTTGAGTGAGAACAGAACCTGGAAGAAAGGACTTGGTTTCAGGGTGTACCCCCTAAGTATTGAATCAGCCAGTGTGGGGTTATGAGAGGGGGATTAGGAACAGCAGCTGCCATGATTAAAGAGTTATTAAAGGTACACACGGGCTGCCTTGTCGGGAGCTTGGGACCTTGTAGAGGAGTGTGACTTCTGTTTGATAAAGCATTGTGTTTTGTCTGAAGAGTGCAGAGCCCGGTGAATCCAGACCACATTCCCATGAGCTCTGTGATCTTAGGGCAGCCCTTCCTCTTCTTGAGCCTGCGTGGGTCAGGCAAGAGAACACATAGAGTGCCCAGACACTGGCTGGCATGTGGGAAGTGTGCCATCAAAGTTAGAGCTAGTGGGGCGTCTGGGAGGCCTGCTAGCGTCTTCAGTTACTGAAGGATCCAGCACACCTTCAGCCCTGACTCAGCCTAACAGCCTGCCCCCCTGAAACCTGAACTTAACCAGAAGGCTGCCCCCACCCACGGACAGAAACCTTCCCCTCGTTGTTGGAACCTCACCAGCACCCCTATGGACACTTGTGGGAAGGCACACAGGCGCGGGCCTGTGTGTTAGTAGGTACAAGACACCATAGCCTGTGTACTTGTGGGAAAAGGTCACTGGCCAGGCTTCCTGTTCTGCCTTTTGAGAGCACTGGCACTGAGGCCAGCTTCTTCAGCTTGGACTGATTATCTGGACTGTTCCACACACTCCCCACCTTCACTTTCTAATTAGGTTTGTCACTTAATGACGCTCTTGGAATTCCCGAGTCCCATAGCAAAACTCTGATAATGGAGTTTAAGCAAATAAGGTACATGAACTTAAAAATGCCAGGAGACCCATTATGGCCCTCAGTACGGCCCAGGAGAAAGAAGCAACTGTCCCCAATTTGCTTTGAGGCACTCTCCTTATAGTCTCATGGGTAGGCCTGGCCTGTTAATCAGCTGTATGCTGGTTTCTTCCTGTTCCTCCTGATTTTCTTCTTCTTCTTCTTCTTCTTCTTCTTCTTCTTCTTCTTTTTTTTTTTTTACCTTGGAAATGGGGACAAAGTCCTCATAGGACCCTTGTAGTCACTTGTTCTCTGCAGAGGTGACAAACAGCTGTTAGGAAAAAACAAAACAAAACACAAGCGTAGATAAGTGGCAGTAAGTGCCTTCTCTGTCTACCCTGCTTCCTCTAGCACAGCCCAGCTCAGGCAGTCCCTTCACTACCCCTACTCTATTCTCATCCACAGCTGCCATCATTCCTGTGTCTTACGTCATTGGTGTATTTCTGTATCTGAGTCGATGAGACAGATCGGTGCTTTTCAGTTTTGTTCTGGACATCTTGTAAATAGCCACTTTCAAACAGGCTGGAAACAAGCTTTACAGGTCAATAGGGGAACTAGAACCGGGTAGGAGAACGGATAGATCCTCAAGCTTTGCCCCTGTTCCAGCCTGCAACAGTACTTGTACTGTCCTAAGCCTCCCTGAAGACTGCTGTCAGTGCAGAGAAGGGTGTCTGTTTCCCAAGCCATTTGTGCTCAGGGTAGGCCAGGTCCTGCTGCAGTAACAAACATACCCCCCCAGTCTGTGGCTTAGGAGGGTAGACGTTTATTCCTTGTTTCTGTCACATATCCAGAGCAGATCAGTGGGGACACTGTGTTCGCCGTAGCTTGTTCACGTATTCCTCTTGGGAGAAAGAGACTTGGGAACCACACACCAGTCCTGTGCAGTCACACTCAGAGGTGATGTGTGTTCCCCTGCTCGCATGTCCTCCTGTAAAATTCTAGTATGTGGACACACTTCACAAAGTGGAAGGCAGGGGACATACACTATTTGTCCAGAAGAGCCGGTCTGCACAGAGGCGTGAATGGCATCTGCTGTTCAGTTCATTGCCGGCACACACAGAGACCTCTATCTCAATATCGGCCGTTCTAGAACCGTGTCTCCTGAGCATTGCCATGCAAGTTGAGGGAGATTTTCTTTTCACTGTTAAGTAGTCAAAATTCCTCATGACGATGTTGAGGACTCTGAAGGATAACTCAGTTGGTAAAACGCTGGCCTCACAGGACATGAGGTCAACCCCCAGGACCACATAAAAAGACCAGGCACAGTTGTGCATGCTTGTGACCCCAGCACTAGAGAAGTAGGGACAAGAAAATCCCTGGGGCTTGCTGGCCAGCCAGCATAGCCAAATTGGTGAGCTGCAGGCCAGTCAGAGCTGACTCATCAAACAGAGTAGCTAGCTCCAGAGCCATCATGCCCAGGATTGACCTCCGGCCTCTCCAGGCACATTTACACACCCATTACAACAGGCACCTTCAAGCCCACAGGCATTTATCTACGCAGCACTGTTGTTTGGTGTGGACACTGGTGGGGGTGGTTCTGAGACAGGTTCAAGCGTGAGCTGGCTTCCCTGAGTAAGAAACTCACTCACGAAGCCTTCTCCCATGAACATGCTGAAGCTGAGCAGTGTCTGTTTCGGCAGTGCTGTTTCTCTCCTGCCACAATGCCCTGTGTAAGTAAAATGCACAGGGGGGGAATTGTAGGTCCCAAGAGAGCCACCTGTGGTTTTGTGAATCCTGCCCTCCACATACCTTCACATGAGCCTCTTCTGGCCTGACCCAAATGGCAGGGATGCTATGGTTTTCACCCCAGTGACACGTTCCTTGCTGTCCTTTAGTTCTTGGTCAGACAGTCGGCTTTGTACACGCATGCCCACAGGAGAGATGGTGATACAGACAGCTCACATAGCCAATGCCAGCCCATCTCCCCGGGACGCTTTCTCTCACATTCAAGAGAATCACTGGTTTCCTGTGACTTTCTACACAGCACTAATTTTGTTTCCCTCCAACAACTGCTAGGATTTCTCTGTCTTTGCCCACATCTGGAGCCTGTAGGCAGTGGTGGCTCCCTTTCTCTTTGTTTACAGCCACTGCTTGGCAGCAGGTGAAGAAGCACAGACAGTGACTAGTGAAAACAGCCCTATTCAACCACCGCAGGCAATTGTACTTCCTTTTCTCCTTCCTCATTTGCATGAAGATACTTCCAGAATCATCTTGGGTTTCCTGTGCCCTGGCATACTGTTTTAAAAATAAAACCCATCCGTGGAAATGCCCATTCATGTACTTAGAAAAAAGGAGAAGGGAAAATAATAAGAGCTGCCATATCCAAGGAGCCCGCATGTGCCAAGGAATTCTTGCTTGTTACCTTTCATCCTTACAGCCACTCCAGGGGTGGCATTCCAATTTCACAAATGATGAAAGGCCTTGGGGGAGGGTTGCTGAGGCCAGTGAGCTGCAGAGCTGGGATTCAGTGTCCTCCCCAGCCACCCTCTGCAGCTCTCTCCTCTCTTGTGCATAGCTACACAAGAGCAAATGGTTGGTCTTAGCACGGTGAGGGCCACTGAGCATCAGTCAGGGTATTGAGGGTAGAGGTTATCAGTATTCCAAAGCCAATTTGCACATTACCAGAACAATTGGTAGCCATGGGTTATTCGTTGCGTAGAATACATAAATCTGATGTTCACCCAGGTCCTCCAGGGAACACAAAGGGGTTTAAAACTAAAAAAAAAAAAAAAAAAAAAAAAAATCTAAAAAGTAGCCCCGAGTGTTGGGGCCTCCATATAAAGACCCTTGTGTTCTAGGCCACACTCATATGAACTTGGGCAAAGAACATAGGCTCTGTAATCAAAAGTGGAGAGATTAAAATTCCTATTTTATAGGTTTGTAGGAAGAATTTACTGAAACAACAAGGTCCATGTTGTATGTAAGTCCCAGTGCAGAGGAAACCCAGGGAAAGTAACGGCTGGTATTGTCACTAAGAGTCTTTGGGGGGCGGGCCACTTTATAAATGGAGAAATGCTCATCTGGTGTCTGCAGTCATCACTCTTCCCCAAGCTGCCCATCCATCTGGTCCCAGCCAGCAGCCCTATTGTTCTTGCCTCACATACTATTGTCCCCAAGAATCTCAGGGAGCACAGCTTATCATCAGAGACATTTCTAGGTAGCCACCCTGGACATGCCACTTTGCAGGGCAGCTGTAAAGGGGAACGCAAGAACCAAGGAGTAAGCAGTTCCATTCTGTTCCCATGACTTCGGTTGGCAAATCAAAGAAACACTAGTACCAAGCAGCCCAGATCTGTGCAGCCAAACTGCACGGATACACTTGGTGCCTTTGAGTGCTGAGGTTGTGCCAGAGCCTTCTCTTTGAGGGCTGGGGCCAAGCCAAGGGCTACCCTCAAGACTTGAATCAGCTGGGCCAGTGGAAGCTTGGGGACAGAGGACCCCACCATAAATGACAGACTAACGTCCGCCAAGTATGCGAACACATACCTGGTGTGGTTTTTCGGACCCTTCCAAATGACTCTACAAGCTAGGTACTATCGTCATCATGAGGGTTTTTAGATTAGTAAAGTGAAGCATAGAATTCAGAAAGTCTCAAAGGGGGTAGGATTTTAATGCAGGTGTCCTGAACCGTCCATTTTCCTGAACTGCATCCTGAACCTTCCCTTTTTGGCCATGAACCTGATTTAATTCGTGTTGTGAGTGATGGAGTGAGTTTTCCAACCAACTCTTTCTGGTGGGAAACCATGTACCTGGTGACAGTCTACCCTTGACTAGTAGATATTTGCTTGTGTTTCTGTGCACTCAGCTTGGCAATGCAGAGAAATGAGTCAATTCCAGCCTTGGCTGTCTGGTTCCTCGCTGTTTTTGTTTAGACAGATTATAAGCACAGAACAGACAAGAAAATTAAAGGGGAATCATGTTTGATCCCCAGCGATGGAAGAAACAGGAGCACCAACATGGAACAGATAGTTTCTGAGCTCACCGTTCCCACCCCATCAACTTCTATACCCCTTGAACACTGTGCACTGGATCTCTCTCTTCAGCACAGCCCTCACAGCCCACCTGCCCACTAAGCTGTGCCCTTTCTGTCGGCAGGTAACCTGGACATCACTCCTGATGACCCGCGCTGGATCGGAGCCTGGTGGGCCGGCTTTCTGCTCTGCGGTGCCTTGCTCTTCTTCTCGTCCCTCTTGATGTTTGGGTTCCCACAATCCCTGCCCCCACACTCAGATCCCGGCATGGAGAGTGAGCAGGCTATGCTCCCGGAAAGAGAATATGAGAGGCCCAAGCCCAGCAATGGGGTCCTGAGACACCCTCTGGAGCCAGACAGCAGTGCCTCCTGTTTCCAGCAGCTAAAAGGTAAGGGGCCAGAGCTTGATGGTCAGAACCACAGGGATATTGTGATGGGATGAGGGAAAGGGTGGCCACTGGAGGACTTGAGAGTTTTACATAAGTGGTCCACACAAACCCTGTGCTTAACTTATGACCAGACATAGTCAATGAATGCAAAACGAAGGCAGCCACCATTTATTGAGCAAATCCTGGCAGCTAACATAAAAGTCTCACTTTGGGAAACATCAAAGCCCTATGCATTTTAAAAGAAAAATAAAGACAAATGCAGCTTTTCTGACAAAATGGGAAGGTGCAAATAATAATGTCAACTGAGAGAGATCTTTTCTGGGTTGTCTCCACTCTCAGCATGGTCCCTTACAGACTTAGAAAATGACAGTAATATTAAATACAGCCCAGCAGACTCAGGCTGCTCCATGACCCCTCCCCCTCCACACACACACCAAGGGAGCTATTTGTGGTGTTCCCTAACTTGCTTGGACCTGCCAGAGTACCTGATGGAGTTTAGACATGAGAAGTTGGCCCACAGGTACCTGGGCATGAGCCAGGCTGGCATTCCTCCTCTTAGAGAAGTTGGGATGGAAGGAAGGTGTATGAACCTCATCTAATCCAGCCTCTATCAGTGACATGGACTGCATTCCAACGCACCGTCAGCATTTCCCTGAGGTCAAATCAAAGGCAAGGAAAGCACCAACAGGATGAAGTGCACCTGTGGCCGATGATGCTCACAGGCCTTGACTAACCCCATGCTCCTTCATCGTCTCATTCCACACCGGCTGCAAGCTTGCTCCATTCTCCCCGCCATGTTTCCACAAGGCTAAGACTGTGACACAGTTCTTCTATGACAGCATTATCCTGAGGAAAAAAAGCTTTGCCTGCAGAGACACTTAATCAAACCTGGGAGTCCATGAGGAGCAGAACGAACCAGTTCTATTTCTGAAAAGACACTAATTTAATAACCCAATGTCATGTCTGCTCCAATGTTCTCTGTATCTACAAGTGCTGTGAGCCAACTGATGGCCTTGAAACTCCTCTTTTTTAAGAGGAGTGCACTAGTAGATGACAGGTCCAGCTAGTGTATGTCCTTGGAGGCTGCCTTAGCTGGAATCATCCCCTCCAATTGTGTAAATTACGTATACTTTTGTAACTGGCAGATTCCAGCAGTCCCTGGCCAGCTGGACGGCAATGCCTGCTGTTATCTTCAGAGCACAGCTGACTGTAAATTCAGGCCCCAGACCCACAATAATCTATCAAGGTGGCATCAGAGTGGGTCTGGCAAAAGAGTACCCTGATCCCCAGTAGTGGCGAACTTTCCAGATCGTTCTTTGTCCAGGTGGTGGTTCTGTCTCCCACAAACCATAATCGCAAGCCTTCCTTTTCATCTCGGGGTATGCAAAGATGAAAAAGTAAACAACCGGGCTGTCAATGACCTCATGAGCAAGGCAGCAAAGACAGGCAGTGGTGCAGGCAGTGACAGACCTGTGGAGGGCCAGGGCGGGTAAAAGGCAGAGCTCCGTTGGATCTTGAGCTGAGGGCTGTCACAACTTCAGAGTGCATTCCCAGGTTTGCTCCATCTTCTCCACTTAAGGAGCCCCTCCCTGCTAGGGTCTGTGGACATGGTAATGATTCAGTGGCTTGTGTCCTGGAACTTACCTTTTACTAGAGGAGGCGTGCAACAGAAGAGGTCAAACCCAAGTGAAGATGAGCACTGAGTACCGTAGTTGGGCTGGGATGAGAGGTATGCATTTGGTTCCATGGGTTCAGAACTCACTAGGTCAGAAGTGGTCAAGCATGGTATCTGTGTGGACACACTACCATGAGTAATGGTTTTTCATTTACAGTGAGCAGTTTCTACTTAGTTGCCCCACGAATGGACCAGGCCAGCTATTCCAGCAGGGCAGGAAAGCTGTGTCTCCAGAAGACTTCTGCAAGAGAGACTCCAGTGCCATGAGCTATTATGCTACCGAACAACCATCCAGGTGCTGGCCACAGAGAAGGACCCATTGTATTACATCCTTTATCTTCCTCTGTGAGCTGGATGTTTCTGCCATAGGAACATGCCCACCAAACACACCCTTCAATGATGCTGGTGTCTCACACTAACTCTTCATCTACTTCATACACACACACACAAAATAATCTCAAAAGCCTGGTGGTCTTCAGGCATGTGAGCACAGAACATTATTTGTCAAATATAATCAGAGCAATGCATGCCTCTCAGAATCTCAATGGCCATTTCTCACGCATCCCTTTGGAGCTTTCAAAGGTTTTTCTTCTTGTACAATCTACCGGGGCCATGCTCAGAACATCTGTCTACAGCAGTCTTTCAACCCCACCACATAGCATTCCCAGGTTTCTTAGGGAGAGAGCGGTAGAGCAGCCTGTCTGTAGTGGGACATCCTGAACTGTACCTCAGCTTAGCAACATCTCTGTTGTACCATCTTGGTTGTGCCATTTAGCTCCACTTGGCTTTCACATGGGAGATCTGGTTTCATCTTTACAGCAATTCCCTCAGGTTGGTGTTACTATTTATCATCGTATACAGAGTAGAAGGCTATGCTTTGGTTATGTGGGGGTCTGGAGATGTGGTTCAATTTTCAAAAAACATCCTCTCCCACAAAAAAAAAAAGATGATAATAATAATAATAATGAATAGGCTTTGAAGATCTGTTGCCAACAAAGCTAGCCATCGGCTGAGTTTGTAACTCTCTGCTGAAGATGAGAGACAGAAAGCATAGAATCTGGTTTCTGAATACCTTGGAAGTCCCCAGCTTGTAGCAGCCGTCACACAAGCACATTTTGATAAAACAGATGGCAGACAAACAAATACTTGGGTTTATGAAGCTGTGGTGTCACCCTCCAGGTGGGAGGCTGCCAAACCCAGGCACGATTTGAGATCTCAACATGCCACCAGATCTCTTTACTTCTAAGCCTTGGCCCTGAGATGCTTCTGTCATGATGATCCCATACTTGAGGTCGCCACACTCTCCCCTTCATCCTAGTGCCTAGTACTCTTCTTCCTCCCCTTTCATGCCAACAAGTTATATATTGGCCCCTGGCGTGACCCTCATGCACCCAGTAGCTGTTCAGTGTATGTAGAATTTATGAAAGGCTACCTAGAGGAAAGAATGGCTCATTGGGACTGAAATAAATAATCCAGGGGCAAAAAGGTGGCTCTTTGGCTGAAGGTGCTTGCTGCCAAGCTGACTACATGAGCCTGATCCCCAGAACTCACAGGGTAGACAAAAAGATCTTTGATCTTCACATACATGCCATGGCATCCTTGCTTATGCACGTGTGCATACATACACACACACACACACATACATGCACACACTACCACCTCCAAAAACAAAAGCCATAACAGAAATGTTTGCTCTCATCCATTATCCCATGGGAATCTCTCTAGCACTATGAGCCATTGGTCCTTTGTTACAGATATGGAAATCAAACTTAGAGATGGAAAGGGAAGACATTTGAACCAATGTGGAAAATCAATGCCTGTCTCCTTAAGCTTGACGTGACTCTGCCTCTTTGGCTGAATAGACTCTCCTGAAAAACAAGTGGCAGCACGAGGTGCTAAGCGACCTTTTGTGGAGTGTACTGAAACTCTTCTGCAGTAGCACAGATGTCCCCTGAAACCATGCGTCTTCAAAGGGGTTGCAGCTGGAACGGAGGAAGCGCCTGCTCCCTGCCAGCACTGGTGGGTCCTGACTTGCTGAGACTGGGGTAACTGCCTGTGTCAAGGCTCAGAATCCTCAGGGCAAGTCCTGACTTTTCGCTCTGAGAGGGGCAGTGAGAAGCTGAGCACTCTTGTCTCAACCCTTCACCCCGACAGACAAGGGGCCTCTCAGTGTCCTTGAAAGGACTGCTGAGCCATGTGCACTTGCTCTGGTGGAGCCTCACTGGGAGAACACAGCTCTGCCCTGATACCTCACCCTGACCCAGCAGGGCCCAGCACTGTGGTCATTTGGCCCTTCTGCACTAAACCTCTGCTGCTGCCTCCTGTCCCTGGCCTCTCCCAGCTCCCATCTGCCCCGGGTCCCTTTCTAACCTAAACCCATCATTAGCAGCTTGATGGCATTTAGAATCATCACTAAAACAACGAGTGTGTCAAGGCTGCTACAAAAAGAAAGACCCACCCTGAATACAGGTAGTTCCATCCCAGGAGTCAGCCCCAGGCTTAATGAAAATATTTATCCTTCCTGTTTCTACACTATGGGAACAATATAACCAACCAGCTACCCAGCATGTCTGCCGTGGCGCCTTCCCCACCGTGGCAAATGGTTCCCTCAGACCGCGAGCCAGAACAAGCCCTTCTTTCAAGTCACTTCAGTCGTGTGTTTTGTCACGGCAACTAGAAAAATAACCGATAACAGCATCTGATCCTGTTGCCACCTGCTGCTTAACGAGACGGTGGCAAAGCCCACTGTGTCTTCTCTGAGGAGGTCTTTTCACACCTACCTTGTTCTGCATGCCAGTCCTCTACTCTTCAAGCGCCCCATTGTACCCTGCCTGCTTCCTGTTTCCCAAGCCCTTCCCTGGAATTCACATCCTGTTGTGGATATCAGCATCCTTTCTTTTCAGTACAGCTTCCTGACTTCCTCACAGGACCCCTTCCCTGGCGTGACCTCATTTTACTTTTTTTTTCCTGTTTTTTATTATTATTATTATTATTATTATTATTATTATTATTATTATTATTATTCTCTCATACATTACATCCCAATCACTTTCCCCTTCCTACTTTCCTCGCAGTAATCCTGCCAACTTTTGCTCCTGCCCCCCCCCTGCCCCAGATCCACTGCTTCTCCATTCCCCTCAAAACAGAGCAGGCCTCTGAGGAATATTAACCAAGCATGTCTTACCAAGTTACAGTAAGACTAGGCACAAACCCTCAT